CTGAGTATAGTGACACTTCCCAATAGTACTGTAGGAAGAGAGTTAGTCTATTTTTGTCTGTATATGTGCCTTTGGGTCAGTGTTGACTCCAGGCGACTGTCTGGATAAATCCCTGCAGTTTTCTTGGCAAGGTTTCTCAGTAGTGGTTTGCCATTGCCTCCTTCCTAGGGCTGAGAGAGAGGGAGTGGTCCAAAGTCACCCAACTGCTTTTATGCCTAAGGCAGGACTAGAATTCACAGTCTCCAGTTTCTAGCCTGATGCCTTAACCACTACACCAAACTGGCTCTTGTATATCTTGTCTATGGTAACCCAAAATCAGAAGTCTGTAGCACCTTTTCAGACTAACAAATTTTATTTAAAGGCGTATGTTTTCATGGTGTGAAGTGAGCTGTAGCTCATGAAAGCTTATGTGTTTAAATAAAATTTGTTAGTCTGAAAAGATGCTACCAGACTTCTTCCCAACAACCTCACCTATCATCCTCCAAAGTTGGCTGATACGCATATTGCGGTACTGTTGTATGTGAATGATGCAGAATTGTTATCACATATACCAGTTGGTTTAAAACAAGCTTTTGCCCTTTGGCCATGTATGGTAAACAGGAAGCTCTGAAGATAAATTATTCTAAAACTAAAATTCTAGTACTTGCCAATTGCCCTAGAGTCTATGCTTGGCAGGTGAATTAACACACAACTGAACAATATTTAAAATCTTAAATATTTAGGGGTAGTATTTTATTCTCCTCGTAAGCATAGGGCCCATTGAGCCCATGTTCAAAATGCCCCAAAATCATCAACAGCCCTGCAATCTTTGTATTATTCTAGAGGGGCATTATTTATACTGGCCATTCTTAAGGTATTTACAGCAAAAGTTCATGCACACCTCTTGTTTGGTGCCTATTTAGGCCCACATAGCTCTTTTATCCCCTTAGACAGAGCACAATCTAAATTCCTAAGGGTTATTTTCCATGTGGCAGGAAATGTGCCTAACATTGTCATGATGCTGGTGTGATTAGAGTGAAAAACAGCATATGGCTATGCATATTCTGATTGAAAGTCATTTTTTTCTGTGGAGCATCTGAATCCTACTCAGTTGTGGTTCAGGCCTAGTCATGGGTCAGAAACAGCACTAGTCACTTTAAAGGATGACCCTAACTAGAGCCTGAATGGAGGAGTCTGCCCCTCCTGGTCCTATTGGACTTCTTGGCTGTATTCAATATCATGGTACCCTTCTGGACTGTATGCAAGGGTTGGGAAAAGGAGACACTGATTTGGTCATACTCCAAAATCTCAGAGCTCTTTTGCCAAGCAATTGCACCAATTAAATGACAGCATTCCTCCTTCCCCATATTTTTCATCAATGGCCGAATTATGGAAGGAGAAAAAAGGAGAGAAGAAGTCATGTTAGAGATGGTCAAGAGCAACAATGCTTGCCTTGAGCTAGGACTCGGGTTTTGTTGCAGTGTCCAGATTTAATTAGGGACAAAATTCATGTGAGCCATAATGTTGATGCTTTGCCATTTGAACAAATCAAGAAAACTTTTCTTCCACTGCTGTAGAAGCACAGGTTGCCCAATCCATGAAACCTAGCTTTCCAATCCACCCATGACAGACATTTTTAAAAGCAGAAGGATAAAGCAATATGCTTTCAACAGTGATTGCTGCGAACCAACAGTGGGAGAGGGCTACTGTTCTCCAATCCAAGCTTGCTAGCTTTCTAAAAGCATCCAGCTGGCTACAGTGTGACATAGATTGCTGAACTAGATGAGCTTGTGGCCTGATCCATTACAGCTTCTGTTCTCAAAAGCCATCCCCTTATAATCCCTTTCTAGCATATGTAGTCCCTGATACCCTGGGCAGACAGTGTGTGTTTAAAATAAACGTAAACACTTGTTTGTTTTTTAATAACTTCTGGTCTTAAAACAGGTGGAGAGGGAATCAGTCTCCCAAATCAGACCTCATGTCCATCTCACAGGGATATAATAATATGGCTATGAGAACTGGCAGTATATTAAATAGCAATATATTAAATAGCAATAATTGCTATAGCCATGGCTATGCTAATCTAATCTAGCAGTGGCTTTATTAGCAGAAATTAGTGGGTGAAAATTTTCACATTATGAAGATAAAGCATCATTACCTGGATATGTTTCTTTATTCAACAAGCATGAAAGGCAAAATGATAGGAGTGGATTCAAGAAAGATAACTATAAAACTAGTAATTTAATGGGGCAATTTTTATCCATGATGCTTGAAAGTAAGTGAAGAATAGACAGTGCTCTCTACTGCACTTCAGAAATTCTGTACAAAATTTCACAATCTTGAAAAAGCAGTTTCAGCTCCCATAATCCTCAATCAAAATGGTGGTGTATATGTTAAATGAGAATTATGAAAACTGTAATCTAACACATGTAAACGGCAATTTATTGGACCTTTATCCTAAGATCCATTGTACTTTTAGAACAGCAATTGCTCAATCTTTCATATAAGACTTGAAATTTGGATGCTAACCATAGAATAGTCACATGTAACTACAAGCTACAAGGCTTTAGTATCCACTAAAGTTGTGCAAAACTAAAATCAAGTCTTACCTGCATTATGGTTTGGTACAACAGCACTTGGAAGGCACAATACATTATCCAACCCTTCTAAAATATTATTAAATATGAATAACCAACAATGAAAGGCACACCAAATTTTCTCCAAAACTCAATTAAATCAAAATAAAATAAAATATCAAATATTCTACACTGCTTTTAATAATAGGTTGTGAAACAATTCTAACCTTATTAAAGATTAATAAAGACAGCAACTCAGTATACTTTAACCTGAATCTCAGTAAACATGAATACGATGAGAAATGGACAGAAGATCAAAGACTCTTAAAACATGTTCAGCAGAGGTCTGTCCTTAAGCAACACAAGGGAGGTCTGTCATTTTATATTTGGGCAACAGTCATAAACATTTGCCTGCCATTGGCTCACTCAGTTATAATTATACGCTCATACCAGAGTTAAACAGAAATTATAAGGGGAGGCTCTCAATTTCTTGAATAATTATGAGACTGTTTTTTATGAGTTGTGCACAGTGTCTGAGTCAGTAGAGGCCTTCCATCTGGGTCATGTTCACTTAACAGTGAAATCCTATATGGATACACAGAGGACATTCAGTACAACTTACCTTCTCACTTGAATGTAGACCCTACTGAACACATTTCCAATACAATGCAAAGGATTAAACTGTGTTTGAATATACAACTGGCATTTTCCCTTCTACATTTTTGCAACACATTCTAGGCAGTTTTCTTTTAGATCCTGGAGATTGATGGTATTTTTGTCGTATGTATTTCAAAGACGTATGGCCAGGGATCAGAGAAAAAGTATGCTATTTAGCATAAGCTGCCCATTCTAGTTTCCAAAACATGAGCTACCCCAGATGTAGCACCAACCTCCAAACAGCACAATTGTATCTCTGCTTGCTCAAGAGAACCCATCGAGTCTATGGGAAATATAGAACTGCAGCCTCCTTTTCTGGCCAGATTCAAAGTGCAAAATTATTACTTTCAGCAGCTGAGGTTTGTGCACCACAAGAAACCTGGAATAGCTGCTAACCATTCCAGGACATTAAGCAAAAATCCTCATCTATCCACCTATACAACAGATTAGAGAGAACATCACTCTGTACAGTTCATGGTGGTTTTTGGAAGCACCTAATATGTCTTGTGTCTTACCATAAGGAGAGTAGTTTCTCACTGACCAAGTAGCAAACTTACCAGAAGAAAGGAAACTTAAATAGCCATTCTCCAGTTCAGACAAAAGAGAGCTACAGATATCCTAAAACATCTGCTAAGCTAAAAAAGCAATGTACGCAACACCATTTTCTGAGGAATCAATATTGTGGACAGGAATAAGTAATGAAACTGCTTACTTAAATGATACATGAAAAATATTTGTTTTACTCAAATGCATTTTGTAAATAATGTTAAGCACTCTGAAGGGAGTAAGCCTCGGTTGAAATGAATCCTGTACATGGTAAAACTGGGAGCTGAAGATATTTTAAACGCTCATCCATCCATCCACACATCACTTTCATTTAGCATCAATCAATAGAATGTGGAGATACCACATTCCCATTTTTCTCACTGGAAACTGCTGAAGCCACTTTAACTAGGGGTTCACATTTCTACCCCTCATGACTACAGGTCTGTGTTCACACAGTATGCTTGAAGGTGAACTCTCAAGTTGAGGTGGACTCCAGGAACTTCATGGACGTCGTTGTCGTTTTCTGGCAATGCTCTAGCACGGGCATCTTTGCCGCTGCCTTTGCTTCGGGCGTTTTTTTGACCCCCCACTCTAGCCCTGGTCTCCCATCCAAGTACTACCCACAGACAACCCGCTTAACCTTTCGAGGACAAGATCAACCCAGTGTAGCTGTGCTGTGCCGCGCCAGCACGAAGCGCCGGCCTCCGACGCGCGTTCTTCGTTCGCCCTGGGTAACAGACCCGCAGGGACGATGTTTGCACGACACACGTGCGTGGTCATGCTTCCCGGAACCAGGGCTGGCTCAACCCCGTTTCTTGGGTTTCACGCCCCGGGTGCTGCCGGCTAGCCACCCAGGCTCGGCGGGCGAAGACAGCATCGCGGTCGCAGGGGAGAGCCGCCTTCGGGGGGCTCCCCGGCCTCGTCCCCGGGGGCTGGGCGGAGCGGCTGGGCGGGCTTCCCCGGCAGGGGTCGCTACGTCGGCACGGCCGGCC